ATGCATTCCAAGAAATTCTATGCTGTTGACACCTATTTCACCTTTCTTTGCCGACAACATAATCCCGTATTTTTCAATTATTTCCCCGAACTGGGTCAATAAAAGTTTATGGGAGTCCTCATCTTTTGAGAAAAGTAAAAGGTCATCAATGTAAATGAGGAGGTTATCAAGCATAGGTTCAAAGATTCTGGTCATGGCCTTGTGGAATAGTGATGGGGCAACCTTAAGCCCAAATGGCATGACAGTCCATTGGTATTGGGCATTTGGAATACAGAAAGCAGTTTTGGGTCGATCTTCTGGGTGGATACCCAATTGCCAAAATCCTGCTTTAAGATCAAACTTGGAAAAGATTTTTGCATCTCTAAGATGGACTGTAAGTGAACTGGGCTTTGGTAAAGGGAATTTGTCATCTTGAAGAAAAATATTAAGAGGCTTATAGTCAATGACTAACCTTTTCTTCCCTCTTTTGATTTCTGATCTTTTTTCAACATAGAATGCCTGACAAGCCCAATTAGATTTTGTTGGTTCAATAAGGCCTTGTTTGAGAAGTGCAGCACATTCCTCTTTAGCGAGCTTGAGATCTTCTGGATTCATTCCTGGATGAGAGGCCTTTGTGGGGCTGATGTCTTCATTTTTCTTGAAGGGGAGTTTTATGAAAAACTCTTGGTTTTTCCATAATGGAAATGGATGAGAGAACTGTTGATGATTATCAGCACAAAACTTGAGAAGATGATCTCGAATATCTTCATATCCTGGTGGTGCCTGTTGGATCTCAAAGAGATTAGGAACTTCAGTATATGCACTAAAGAAATTTTTATATCTAATTCCTTTAGGCAGGACTTGAAGATTCCTAGTATGATTATAAGCATCAAATCCAATAAGAATGTCTTTTCCAGGGAGATCACTACCAAGAACTTTCATCCATAGGACACATCCTGGAAAGAATTGAATACCAATCTTCCTGCGAGTTATCCATTCAATCTTGAAGGGCTTTGAATCAGCAGTAAAGAAAAGTTGATCACAAGGGATCCATGCTTCAGGGGGAAGAATATCAGGATTCATGATGGTTCTGCATGCTCCAGTATCAATAAAGGCAATAACAGGAATTGGCTTTTCATATCTTCCTGGAAGGATATGAATTTTGACATTTGGCTTAAGAGTGACTTTGTTGTGTTCTGACTGAGAAGCCACGGAACCAAGGAAAGGAGACGGATGCACAGGCTGTTCAAGGGAATATAAATACCCTTGAGGACTATCATCTTCTTGAGAAAAGGATTCAGAATCAGTTTCCTCATCTTCAGAGTAAGGAAGAATATATTGTGTCTCTTCATCCTGAGCATCTTGTTCTTCGATCACGGATTCTACATCTTCATCTTCATTGATCATGAGAACAGTCTGCAAATGTTCTAGCATTTTGACATCCTTTTTTGTCTTGTTAGGACAATTTTTTGCAAAATGCCCCTTTTTCTTGCATATGTAGCACCTGTCAGATTTCTTTGACTCTAACTTCTCAGGCTTATCAACTGGATGCAGATCTGAAGAAATTTATCGAAAAGGGATACATTGGACCAGAGTTTACTAGGAAAGAGCAAGAACTGTCACAAATCCGAAAGGATTTACAAAGAATCGAGTCAGATATAGCTAAAGATCATTCACAAACCATCTATGACCCTTATCCATCTTACCCCTCTAGTTTTCAACTCCCCACATACCCAGCATCACCTCCTTCTTATCCTAGAGAATCTGATTACAGCAAGGTTTTCAAAATGTCTTATCCTATTTTAAGACAATTGAGAAAACCCCGACAACCAACTTTTTCACCCATCCAACCAAACCCTCCTCCCAAACCTCCAGTACGACCACCTCATTTCCCTTCATCTGAAAGACTTTTCTACCCATCTTCCTCATATACTAAACCTATTGAACCAACACCGTCCTCTCAAGGAGTTGTAATAAGAACTCCACCATCATCTCCACCAAAACAAACTCCTCCTCCAGACAGAGAAAAAAGAAAAGAAGTTGCAGATCCAAACAAAACCATAGCCACTTTCCAAACTGTGGATAAAGATCAGTCATCAACAGATGGAACCTCTGAACCTGAATCTGATTCCTCTATTGAGTACAGTTCTAACTCTGATCCGGAGATATATCATGCTGATATCTCTAAAGTAGCAATGGTCCAGCCAGATCCCACAGTTGAAGATCCTATTGATGAAGACCCATCTGTTCCTCAAACACCTGAGCCAAGAAGAACAGACTATAAACCTACTACAGGTCCATGGTTCACTTTTGATGATCTCCCTCCAGAAAAATGGAGAGACAGACTCCATGAGTTCGGAGCATGGATTGACCTGCAGCTTGCCAGGCATGATGCAACTCTTGAGGAAGTTCTTACAGAATTTCTCTCAAGACTAACAGGAACATTAAGAGAATGGTATCAAAGTCTCAGCGATTACCAGAAGATAGCAGCAGCCAGAGTTGATAATGCAGGAACTCTCCTAGGACTCATTCATAAGGAATTCATTGGTGACTTCCAGATCATTAACAAAAGGCATCGCCAAGAATACTTTGAGATGAAATGCTGCTCTTTAGACAAAAGAGACTTGCAGAAACATTTCCAGAGAATGTCTGAAAAATACTACATGCTTGGAGGAGCCAATGATGTCAATCTCAGGCATACTTTTATTGCCTCTCTTCCAGATGAATTACAACCAGAACTTCATAGAGCTATCAATGCACTCCATAGAAACATGGCTGACATTTCCATTGGAGAAATATATCAGTTGGCATTAGCAACTGTGGATAAGCTCTGTGAACAACAGAAGTTCTTCAAAGGAATGTTGAAAGGACAGTCGAAGCTCAGGCATGCATGCAAGAAACAACATCTGAAAATAAAGTGCAAGGATGATAAAGATTGCTCTTGTTCTACCAAGAGAAAATCTCACTATCGTCGATTGATACTGGAGCGACTCAAGGAAGTGGTATCAGCTGGAGTATATATCTGACATTTGAGATGGTATCCAAAGGCAAAGCAGTAGAGAAGTAAGCATATCATAAAAATCCACATGCTTGCAGGATGCATATCTAAAGGTGATGAATTGGGGAAGTGCATTTGCACAATCTCTCTCGTCTCAGGAATTAGAAATGCAAATATAGCATGCCAAGGAGGTGACCTGCACAGCCATATCAAACCAGTTAGAAGTGTCATGATGACATCACGAAATCAAAAATCAATCTAACAGGTATTTGAGAACACATCAAAAAGATGTGCAGAAGTTTCGTATATACATATATTCTTGGTGGGTGGTGTTGGTGATGACAGGAAATGATCTGGAGACACACTCCACGATGGCAAAAGAGTTTGTGTTGAAGACCCAAATGAATGCCATACAATACAATCAGACCCTAATGAGAAGTGGGAATACTTTCTGGTGCTACTGCTGGAGTCAGGGTATAAAACTGGAGACACACTAATTTGACTTGGAAATTAAACGAATTACATATATATATATATAAGTATAAAAGAGTTGAAAGAAACTTGGAAGATACTTGCGTGTGTGAAGTAGGCATGACTTGAGTTGAGTTTGCTGGAATTTGATGGTTGTCCCTCCCCGCAGAGAGCGTAGGCCGGAGAAGAGGGATGAGGAAACAAGCATTTATGGCCTATTTATAATAGTGAGACAGCATGTCAGGATGCCTTTTAGAGAGAGAGAGAGTATGTCAGGGTGCATTTAAGTGAGAGAATATGTGTTAGCGTGCTTTTGAGTGAGAGAATGCGTTTTAAAGAGCTTTGGAGTGAGAGAATGTTAGTGAGAGAATGTGTGTTAGAGTGCTTTTGAGTGAGAGAATGTGTAAAGTGCTTTTGAGTGAGAGAATGTGTTAGTGAGAGGATATGTGTTAGAGTGCTTTTGAGTGAGAGAATGTGCTAGTGAGAGGATATGTGTTAGAGTGCTTTTGAGTGAGAGAATGTGTTAGTGAGAGGATATGTGTGTGTTAGTGAGAGAATGTGTGTTAGAGTGCTTTTGAATGAGAGGATCTGTGTTAGTGAGAGAATGTGTAGAGTGCTTTTGAGTGAGGGAATGTGTTAGTGAGAGGATATGTGTTAGGGTGCTTTTGAATGAGAGGATCTGTGTTAGTGAGAGAATGTGTGTTAGAGTGCTTTTGAGTGAGAGAATGCGTAGAGTGCTTTTGAGTGAGATAATGTGTTAGTGAGAGAATGTGTGTTAGAATGCTTTTGAGTGAGAGGATATGTGTTAGTGAGAGGGTATGTGTTAGAGTGCTTTTGAGTGAGAGACACTGTGAGAGTGGTTTTTACTTTTCCGTGAGAGACACAGCATTTCAGGATATAAGTCAGAAAAGTTCGATTACAAATTTTGATACCGTTTAGTTGAGTGATTGGATAATCTGGTTTTTGTATGAAAAACTATAATAAGCTATAAGTTAAAATTAATAACTTATGACTTATAGCTTTTGAAATATGAAAAGAAAAAAATTAAGAAATTTATCACCTCTTTTGATTCTTATTATAAGTTTCAAATAACTAATTTGTAGATAATAAAAAATCAGTTAAAATTAGTTGAAAGTAATAAATAAGTTAGAAATATACTTTTATTTTTAAATATGTTTCTAAAAATATACTTTTATTTTTTCATGTTTCACTTTATATTTAAAATATTTTTTATGACTTCTTTATATTAAATTATTTTAATTTCATTGTGTTATGTAAAATTATTTTTTTAATCATATTTCATTATTTATTAAAACTCATATTGATCATTTTATAACTAAATTTATTTTTACTCAACCATCATCTAAACAAGAAAAAGTATTTTTGGCTGCTTTTTAGAGAGAGAGAGAGTATGTTTGGGTGCCTTTAGTGAGGGAGAGCGCGCTGTGAGAGTGCTTTTTGGTGACTGATTGCCGGCAAGAAAAAGTGATCGTGCTTTCTTGTAGTGTGATGAAGATTCCCGCCGAGGGCTGAGACGACCCGAGGCGCTGGTAGTATAGGATACTCATACTGATGACGGGACATTTGAAGAATGCCACAGTTGCCGTAGATGCGCTGTCAATATGGTGAGTTTTTAAATTCCTGAGTTGTTGGCCTTTCGCTCCTGCAAATGCAAAACTGGGATCCTTACTGGGCTTTTTTTTTTCTTCTATGCCGCACGCAGTATGACTATAAACGGATGGGAAATGATGATTCCTCTTGCTTTCTTCGCCGGTACCGGGTACAGTTTTAATTCATCCTCTTCCCTTTCTGTCCTTCTCTCGTTTCCCCTTCCTTCCATTCACAAGAAAGCTGTAAAGTGGCATTAATTATGTGGTGGCAACGTTTTGAAACATCGTTGTGTCAAAACAAGGTGTAATTAATGACAAGTACGCACCTCCTTTTCCGTTTTAGGTTTTAGCTAAATGACAATAGATAGGCAGAAAAAAGCTACACTCAACCACAGGAGTCATATCATCCCTTGGGAAATTACCCTTTGACTATTCAAAGTCGGATCATCAGTAGATTTGCACCGGAAGAATTTTAGTTTGAAATGATGACAGAGACGAGACCATAATTCACACACACACACACACACACATGGAGCGGCGTAAATGATGAACGGATGTTGACACAATATATAGGGTAAGGGTGGCGAACGAGCTCGGAGCTGGGAACGGGAAAGCGGCAAAGTTTGCGACCCAAGTATCGGTTGCAGAATCAACAGTGATAGGGGTGTTATTCTGCGCAGTGATAATGGGATTTCACGACCAGCTTGCCTACATGTTCACGTTATTGTCGAACTCATGGGGCTAGATGAATAAATTAACAAGTTTGCTAATTTTCCAATGTAATATGGTCAAACATAAATATTAACTTGGATTTACAGAAGTGTCTCCTCCACTGGTGATATGTATGTATATGAAGCCACATTTTCATAAATTTGTATTACGTGCCTTCTTGTGGGTAAAATATGAATATAGTAATTAATGTCAATTGTCAAACTGATAGTGAAGACAAATCATTGAAGAAAAAGTAAAACTGATGTTAGTATCATTACCCTACTTCTTAATATAAGAGTTAGTTTCATGTTCAATTTAGTCTTAAAAATAAGATTCTAATATGTTTTGTCTCTTGTATTTATCTATTTTTTCTAATGCAGTCCTTGTAATTAATAGTTGCATATATTAAATATTACATCAAATAGTAGTTCTAGCTAATATACATAATTATTAAGGATATTTTAGAGAATACATTATATATCTATTATAAATAAATAACTTAACTAAGTTTTTTAATTTACTCAGATGAGTCAACTAACTCTTAGATTCAGGATTGGAAATGGTATCAAATTGGGTGGAAATCTGATAGTATTTGGTATCTAAATGCAAAACAATAAAAGAGTAAGCATAGCTGAAAATTCGTATTTTGGGATTGGGGTGATGTCTATTACAAAGATGAGACAAATTACTAGGAAAGCCCCGATCATTATTCATGTAGCATATACTGTAACAAGGTTTTGGGGTGAAAGAATATACTATTCTTCCGTTCTTAATATAGGACCTAATTGTTAAATTAATTTTAGTTCTAAATATAAGATCTATTTCTCATATTTATTAATTTTTTCTAAATTATCCCTATGGATACTTCTTCAACTGTAATCAAGTAAGTGATGGAAGGAGGATATTAAAAAGATGATCACGGTATTTTAGGAAAAACATGTCATATCTCTTATAATTAATTAACTTATTTAACTTTCTTAATCTAATTAAATTAGTTAAAGAGGTTTTATATTAAGGATTGGAAGAGTATAATGGAGTGTTTGGAAGGAGATAATGATAACAGAAGGTTAGTGACAAACAGATGAGGTTCGTCTTCTATTCCCGTTCATGCCTTTTCACCACACTATTTTTAATTATTTTTTTATTATTATTAGAGAATCAACAAATTTGGAGTGGCACTGCCATATTATAAATAGAACCGTACAACCAGTTACTAGCATAAACGCTAGGCTGAACATTATACTTCGTTAAGCTAATTTATTAACTACTGTAGTGATCATAATATTAAACGCATCAGTTGCCATCCTTATATAGATTGGAAGTCGATGTTTGGTTGTTCTCCCAATAATTCAAGACTTCTAAATATTTCTAGTTATCAGGCTTAAATATTAGTTTTCCTTTCAAATAATTTTCTAATTCAGACTTGTTCATACATGAATGAATCATAATCGCACAAATATCTTGATAGTCTTGCACTATGTTCATGTAATTTGTAAAGGATTAAAATAATTTTAAATAAAAACTAGCTAAATAAGATTGAGTAAATGCAATTACCAAAATGATTAAAACATACGTCAAATACAAATGAATATATGAGCGTAGCAGGTCGACCCTTGATCGTCGAATTGGGCCTTTATTTTTTTTCCAGCCCGATGCTTGATTTAAATGTGCCAGCTTAACTGGCTTGTTTTAATTGGCATTTTTTTATTCAAGAATATAGAGGGAAAGTCAACAAACCATAGTGAGCAAACGTTTTTTGAAAATCAACGAAGGCGTCTTCATTTTTTTTCCCTGTTCATTAACCGCAAAAGGGCAGAACGAGAGAGTTGCTGTCGATATTAGCAGCAAGAGGACAGAACGAGAGAGTTGCCGTCGATGCATAACTATGCGACCTTCTGATCATTTGAACTGAAGACGCGCTGGGTCCCACACGCAAATTGTGCGGAGAAAAGTTTCTCTGACGCGCACGTGCACCAGGAAATTTTTTCTCCTCACAATTTATGCGTTCGCGAATCAATAATTGATTGGTCCACGTCAGAGACTACGCCGAGATATAACTGAGCAAGGTGATCTATTTATACCCTGAAACTCAACGTTTCTTCATCCCACTCCTGCACTCTCTCTGCCTGGCGAAACGACCATCAGATTTCATCAATCTCAACTCATGGTTACTACTGCACCCCCGTAAGTATTCCAAGTTTCTTTTCAAACTCTTTTACATTATTCATTTCATTTTCATATGTACATACGTGCATTCCTCATCAAATTTCCCTTTCGAAGCTGTCAATTGCGTGCAAAAGAAATTCTGGATCCTGTGTTCATGGTCAAATTAGTGTTTCACCACTTCGTCTTTCTTTGTCCTCATCCGCCGTCGTAGGATGTCTCCACTAGTCCAGTTCATATGCTGTCATTGCCACCATTCTCATCGCGGCTGTGGTAGTGGCGGGCTTGGGGTGGAGCAGGGAGTGGTGGGGGTGTGGGGCCTGGTGTGTCTGCGGTTCATATACTGTCATTGCCACCATAGTCGTTGCGGTGGTGGTAGTGGCGGGCTTGGGGTGGAGCGGGGGTGGTCTGGGTGTGAGACCCAATGCGTCTGCGGTTCATATACAGTTATTGCGACCACCATCGTCGCGGAGGTTGTAGTGGCGGGCTTGGGGTGGAGCAGGGGGCGGTTTGTGTGTGGGACCCAGCATGTCTGTAGTCCATACACTGTCATTGCCACCATCGTCGTTGCGGAGGTGGAGGCTTGGGTGTGGTGGCGGTGGCGGGCTTGGACGGAGCAGGGGGGCGATTTAGTTCATCAGAAACATCTCCTTCTCTCTCCTTCTTTGCCCACCCCACAATCCCAAATCTGACCAAGCGCCTCCCCCGTTCGCTCACTCCCCACTACTCTCCCGGCTGGTAGATGCACTGGCCATTACCTCTCATCTCTCCATAATACATTCCCTTCCCCACTCAAAGTCGCTGGAGCCTCTTCGGCCATCCCCGAGGTCACGTCTCTATTATATCTGGTCCACAGAAAATAGTATATTTGACATGCATAGTCAAATATTTCTTAGAATGATTGTTTATTTTGATAATGTTATTATGAAACTTCTAATTCTAATTAGCTTGATGATTGTGCAGTTCAATCCAATGGCATACTGTGTTTGCGACTTTGCGTTTCTGATTTCAGCGAAAGGGACTATTATCCAAATGCACTTTACCAATTCATCACCTTTGGATGAACACCCTGTAAGAATATGATTTTTTTTTATTGTATGCTCACTAATCTATTGCTTTGCAATTGGGCATAATATAAAATCTCAGATTTGCACCGTAACTGATAGTACTTCCTTGGACCACTCTTTGAAGATAGCTTTTAACTAAGGAAGATAGCTTGTACTGCCCTGATATCAATGTTGGTTCCTCGCTCTCTCCAACCATTTGCTTTCATTGTGTGCCTAATTTTGCTATCCGTATACTTTATGCACAAGAAAATAGCAAAAATGGCTGAAAAGATGGCTTCATATTTGTGTGACCGGTGGACAAGAACTAAAAGCAGAGCTTCAAGTTTACTTGAGCACTGGAAGAGAACTGAAAGCGGCAATATCCCAGCAATCAGCCGACCACCAGTTTAGATCTTCATCAAGTTTAACAACTTAGGCGTAGTATTTATATCGATCACTAGTTGCCAGACGATAAGTTGTGTTCATGTATGCAGCACATTATGTTAGTCATACTATGACGTTACTGTATTAGTGTCTTTGTTTGACATTCTATCAATTACAAATGTTTCTTTCATGAATTGAGAATACATTAAAGACACAGTCCCATTAGTGGAAAAGATCTCCAGTATAATATCCTCTGTTTTTAAGATATTGTCATAGTGAAAGTTTTAGCCACACATTGACACATTATCCTCCTTTAAAATTTCCCTATTTGGCAATGAGGGAAAGGTTTATGCAAATTTATAAACTGGTATTTATGGGAAAACCCCTTTTGATGGTGCCTCTTAAAAAGCACAGACAAGATTTTGGGTGAGTTGGAAGCTCCGTATTTGATTGCATCGCACATTAATATTCGAAAAATTATTCAAACAATTGTTTATGGAATGGGAAATACAATAAAGAGATCAAATGATCAGAATGTCGCATAATTATGCATCGACAACAAGTTTTCTTTTATGCTATGGAAGTCAAGTCATCATTTTTTCCCAGATTTTGAGTCAGTTGGTCTTTCTAACTAATTTCTTCATATTATTTTGTTATATATAGTTCTCCAACTGCTTGCTGTCTCTCTCTTTCTCTTAGCGTTCTTTCTAAGCTCTTTGCGTTCTAGTGTTCTGTCACCTTGCTCGTTCACAAGAACAGTTTGCTTAATCCTGGGGAGCTTTGCTTTCTTATATACTGAGAGGTTGCAAAATATCTTTCAAGGACAGTATTCCTGCGATGTGACTCAAAACAAATTTCCATTGCTGCCGCCAACAATCTTAAGAGATATTCTTCATCATAGTTGAAAATAACGATGTCTTTGTTCTTGTAAATATCCCAACAGCAATGCTACTTCCTTGACCATTCCCTGACACGTCAAAGATAGAAATGTTTGATGGGAAGAACTTCAGGCAGGGGCAGGAGTGAGTCTATACTGTTATAGATATGCATCGAGTTGTCAATGCGCTTACTCAATCTGAACCTGCTCCAGATGCTAACCAAGCCTAAAAGGATCTCTAGCAACATGCCAACAAAGTATGTACACATACCTTGACCAGTACTTCGTCTAATAACTTGTTCGATGTTTATAGTGTCTACAAAGAGACAAATAAGATATGGGAGTTGTTGGTCCTTAAATATACTGTTGAGGATGCTGGGAAGAAGAAATTTATGATCAGCAATTTTTATAGATGGGAAATGACCAAGGACAAATACATCAAACTCCAAATCAATGAACATCACAAACTTCTAGAAGAAATTCGGGCTAAAAAGATTAATCTCCTTGAGGAATTCATGGCTAGGATTCTAATTGAGAAATTGCTAAGTTGATGGACCGAAGACA